ATTTGTATGGTGTCCTTTAAATCTGTTAAAAATAAAATCCTCTGGAAGGACATTAATTTGATCTTTTTTGAAGGTAGCCTATCTTCTCTTGTTTTTTTTTTTGTTTTTTCATCCATTTTGTCAGCCTGTATCGGTGTTTTATATCCATATAGACTTGTCTTGATTTCTAATCCACAACAAATGATGATTATTAGGTTAAACGTTCAGAATACGACTCCATAAGGTTATATTTCAGCAATTGGCGAATGGATAGCGACGCTTAAGTAGCACGTAGAACGCGTTCTCGCGTGTTCACGTTAAGTGCGTTTTTGGGAAATTGCTGCGATCGTTAAGATAAGATACATCGTTATCGGGAAACCCGGCCCAGCTCAGTTCTCATATAATGCTGTCAGTGCAGGAGATCAATAATACAGCTGAATATTAAATGAAATGATATTATAGATAGTAATAATGAAATATATAAAGTCCCTCATGGAAATTCTGGCTGAATGAGTTTTTAAATCATAATTACTACTTAATTTGTTCATCAAATATGTATCTCCTTCAGTTATTTTCATGCTTAATTAAGCCTGCTAAAACACATTGTATGATCTTCTGTTCCTCTCACTGCTCATTCTGTTGCTCTATCATATTTAATATACAGCGGCTATATAGAAATGAACTAAATAAATGACCTTTTACAGCAGAAATGAAGCATCACTGAACTGACTTGAGCTGGACGGAGACGCTGTTCTCTTCGGGAAACACACTGTGTCATTATTGTCCTGCTGTTATCTCTGTAAAGCGGCTCTCACACACTCTGTGCTGGGTAAATAAACATGACTCGACTAAATGGTGTCGTCAGAAGTGTGTGTTAATGATGTCGTCAGAAGTGTGTGTTAATGGTGTCGTCAGAAGTGTGTGTTAATGGTTCATTCTGTGCTTCACTCCGGGTACTAAATCCATCAAATAAAAGACTTGTATATTAATTAATATCATTATTTATATATATACTGTATGCATGCAATGTTTTTGTTTGTATGGAAGGGAACTTTGATTGTAGTGCATAAAGAGCAGTGTGTGTGTGTGTGTGTGTCAGTAATGAGCTCAGTGTGACAGTAGTTTGTCTCGTGACCCCTCGACGAAGCGTTTGCATGTTCTGTGACGAGGAGGATCATGTTCTTGGTGTTTCACTCATGATGAAATGCTGAAGTTGACTCGGTGCGATCCGTTGCATTCAAGGTTAATGTTGCTGTATACACACACACACACACACACACACACACATCACAACATCTGCGTTTCATCAACATCACAGAGAAGCTTCTCATGAACCGTTTTAGAAACTCACTTCCTCTCTTTACCTGTTTCTCCACAGCTGTGTTAGTCGAGCAAACACTTCACACACACAAGTCCTTTGAGCGCGCTGACACACACACACACACACACACACACACACACACACACATTACTGGGCGTATGTCCAGAGACCTTGGTCTGTCTGCGCGAGGGTCAGGCTTTCCTTTTCCCTTTCCTGTTGAGGTCACTTCCTGTGTACTGACACATTCCTCACATGACGTGTGTTTGAAACAGGGCTGATGTTAGCGGATTGAAGTGATGACTTTTCAGTGGCTTCGTTCATATGCACACTATTTCCACGTCATTACACTATTTCTACATCATTACGCTATTTCTACATCATTACGCTGTTTCTACATTACGCTATTTCTACATTACGCTATTTCTACATTACGCTATTTCTACATTACGCTATTTCTACATTACGCTATTTCTACATTACGCTATTTCCACGTCATTACGCTATTTCTACATTACGCTATTTCCACGTCATTACGCTATTTCCACGTCATTACGCTATTTATACATTACGCTATTTCTACATCATTACGCTATTTATACATTACGCTATTTCTACATCATTACGCTATTTCTACATCATTACACTATTTCTACATCATTACGCTATTTTTCAACGTCATTACGCTATTTCTACATTACGCTATTTCTACATTACGCTATTTCTACATTACGCTATTTCTACATTACGCTATTTCTACATTACGCTATTCTACATTACGCTATTTCCACGTCATTACGCTATTTCTACATTACGCTATTTCTACGTCATTACGCTATTTATACATTACGCTATTTCTACATCATTACGCTATTTATACATATTACGCTATTTCTACATCATTACGCTATTCTACATCATTACACTATTTCTACATCATTACGCTATTTCAACGTCATTACGCTATTTCTACATTACGCTATTTCTACATTACGCTATTTCTACATTACGCTATTTCTACATTACGCTATTTCTACATTACGCTATTTCTACATTACGCTATTTCCACGTCATTACGCTATTTATACATTACGCTATTTCTACATCATTACGCTATTTCTACATCATTACGCTATTTCTACATCATTACGCTATTTCTACATCATTACGCGATTTCTACATCATTACGCTATTTTTACATCATTACGCTATTTATACATTACGCTATTTCTACATCATTACGCTATTTATACATTACGCTATTTCTACATCATTACATTGTTTCTACATCATTACGCGATTTCTACATCATTACGCTATTTCAACGTCATTACGCTATTTATACATCATTACGCTATTTCTACCTCATTACGCTATTTCTACATCATTACACAACTTCTACATCATTACGCTATTTTACATTATTTCTACATCATTATGCTATTTCTACATCATTACGCTATTTCTACATCATTACGCTATTTCTACATCATTACATTGTTTCTACATCATACGCTATTTCTACATCATTACGCTATTTCAACGTCATTACGCTATTTCTACATTACGCTATTTCTACATTACGCTATTTCCACGTCATTACGTTATTTATACATTACGCTATTTCTACATCATTACGCTATTTCTACATCATTACATTGTTTCTACATCATTACGCTATTTCTACATCATTACGCTATTTCTACATTACGCTATTTCAACATCATTACGCTATTTCTACATCATTACGCTATTTCAACGTCATTACGCTATTTTCTACATTACGCTATTTCTACATTACGCTATTTCCACGTCATTACGCTATTTATACATTACGCTATTTCTACATCATTACGCTATTTCTACATCATTACGCTATTTCTACATCATTACGCTATTTCTACATCATTACGCTATTTCTACATCATTACGCTATTTATACATTACGCTATTTCTACATCATTACGCTATTTATACATTACGCTATTTCTACATCATTACATTGTTTCTACATCATTACGCTATTTCTACATCATTACGCTATTTCAACGTCATTACGCTATTTATACATCATTACGCTATTTCTACCTCATTACGCTATTTCTACATCATTACGCTATTTCTACATCATTACGCTATTTATACATCATTACGCTATTTCTACATCATTACGCTATTTCTACATCATTACGCTATTTCTACATCATTACGCTATTTCTACATCATTACATTGTTTCTACATCATTACGCTATTTCTACATCATTACGCTATTTCAACGTCATTACGCTATTTCTACATTACGCTATTTCTACATTACGCTATTTCCACGTCATTACGTTATTTATACATTACGCTATTTCTACATCATTACGCTATTTCTACATCATTACATTGTTTCTACATCATTACGCTGTTTCTACATCATTACGCTATTTCTACATTACGCTATTTCAACATCATTACGCTATTTCTACATCATTACGTTATTTCAACATCATTACGCTATTTCCACGTCATTACGCTATTTCCACATCATTACGCTATTTCAACGTCATTACGCTATTTCAACGTCATTACGCTATTTCAACTTCATTGCGCTATTTCAACGTCATTACGCTATTTCTACATCATTGCATTGTTTCTACATCATTACGCTATTTCTACATTACGCTATTTCTACATCATTACGTTATTTCTACGTCATTACACTCTTCTACATTATTACGCTATTTCCACGTTATTTCTACGTCATTATGCTATTTCTGCATCATTACGCTATTTCTACATCATTACGCTATTTCTACATTACGCTATTTCAACGCCATTACGCTATTTCAACGTCATTACGCTATTTCAACGTCATTACGCTATTTCCATGTCATTACGCTATTTCCACGTCATTACGCTATTTCAACGTCATTACGCTATTTCAACGTCATTACGCTATTTCAACGTCATTACGCTATTTCTACATCATTGCATTGTTTCTACATCATTACGCTATTTCTACATTACGCTATTTCTACATCATTACGTTATTTCTACGTCATTACACTATTCTACATTATTACGCTATTTCCACGTTATTTCTATGTCATTATGTTATTTCTTCATCATTACGCTATTTCTACATTACGCTATTTCAACGTCATTACTCTATTTCCACGTCATTATGTTATTTCTATGTCATTACGCTATTTCTACATCATTGCATTGTTTCTACATCATTACGCTATTTCTACATTACGCTATTTCTACATCATTACGTTATTTCAACGTCATTACGCTATTTCAACGTCATTACGCTATTTCCACGTCATTACGCTATTTCAACGTCATTACGCTATTTCTACATTACGCTATTTCTACATCATTACGTTATTTCTACGTCATTACACTCTTCTACATTATTACGCTATTTCCACGTTATTTCTACGTCATTACGCTATTCTACATTATTACGCTATTTCCACGCTATTTCTACGTGATTACGCTATTTCGATCGGATTAGAAAAGGAATGAACACTCCTTTCAATCTGATTCAAATCTCATTGGCAGCTCAGTCGGATGGATTACGGTGTTTTACATGAAGCTGTCAGTGTGATTGAGCCGTCAGTCCCGTTACTAGCGGCTGATTGGGTTGTTTGCAAACGTAGCCAGTCTCAGTGTTTATACCTTGTTCCTGTCGTTCCCTCTCCACAGACTCTGTGTTCATGATGGCCAACGCCTCCGGAAGGTTCTCGGGACAGAAAGCTCAGCTCTTCATGCCCCAGTTTAAGGAGAACGACACCCACTGCGTCATATTCCAGTATTACAGCGCGGGTCGAGAGGCGTCCAGCCCCGGCCAGCTCTACATCTACGTCCGGGAGAACAACGGTCCTCTGGGAATGCCGGTGTGGAACGCGTCCGGTCCCGCCCTGCAGAAGTGGACCCAGGTGGAGCTCGCCGTCAGCACCTTCTGGCCCAACTACTACCAGGTGATCACATGATCCCGTTCGGCACGTCCCACAAGGCTTTTCTTATAAAACCAGTCCAGCCCAAATATATAAAATTCTGAAATCGAGATGCACTTACTAAAGTAGTAAAAAAAATATCAAAAATGTTATCTGGTGTCTGTATCATTTTTGGTTTGACTGTACAGATACAAGTATTCTCCCCCTTTACTTAAAGCTACACTGTGTGATTTTTACCCCCATCTAGTGGTGAAAAGGTATATGACCATCCAGTGAATATTAGTTTCTGTTCCTCTCAATTCCGATTTTGTTTTAACTCCTACGGTGGCCAATGTAGTCCAAGATTAACATGGCTTCCTGTTCGACCTCATCCATGAGTGTTAACTCAAACGTAAACGCGAAATGCGAAGCTTGAATTAACGGGTATGTCCCTCTTTGGCTAATGTACTTTCAAGATGGAGGGGCAACATGTCGACCCCGTATGTATTTTCAATGGCATATTATACACTCACGAGAATACTTTATTACTTGAACGAAGTAAATATACATTAATGAGCACATACATTTTTGAAAGAACTAAGTGTTTTTAGCTAAGAATAAACTAAAAGAGTTACACAGTGTAGCTTTAACATACACACACACACCTCTGCTGAGACACACACACACACACGCGGCGTAATTGATGAAGAATGCGATTGTGACTTTCTAATACTAGCGGAGATTAACGATGCGATCTCCACTTCTTCAGCGCTGTGGCTAATTAGCGATGCCTGGCTAATTACAGGTCTGTGTAATTGCAGTGTATCTTAAGAGTTTGTCAAGATGAAACCACCTGGTACACAGAAATTACTCTGATCTCTTATTGTGTAATGACAGGGTGTGTGTGTGTGTGTGTGTGTGTCCTGCGCTCTTCTTCTCGTCTCACCGAGGGAACGCGCTGCCGCTAATTGCGTCTCTCGTTTAATTGATGTTCCTCTGTAGCGTGAGTGTGTGTGTGAGTCTCTGGTCCTCCGCGACCCGCATCTCACGCTGTAGGGTTAGTGTGTGACCTCTGACCTCTGCTTTGTTCCCGCGAGGAACCGTGTGTTTAGCGGCTCAGAATGAAGTTGATTGACAAGCTGACGCAACTCGCGCATAAATGCCGGAACAAAAGAGGCTCGACAAACACTGTCGTTAGAGTTACGGTCATTAACATCACAAAACCCAACGAAACAAACACAGCTATCATGAGACTGAGAGAAGATCGCGAGCAGGCTTTAATTTATTCAGAAAGTTTTCTAAATTCATAATATCATAAATATCATAAATATCCTGGGCGATTGTTGCATGTGTGTATTAGTGAGATGTGTGTGAGATCGGCACATTCGCTCTTAAAGAGACAGTAGCCCATAATAACAAATATAAGAATAAACAAATCTTGTTTAATGGCAGCTGAATGACTCGGTTTGATGACAGAAATCACGGGTGTGTTAACGAGCTCAGCGCTCGTCTGCTAAAGGATCGATCTGATTGGTCTAATGAAGCTGCTAACGCTCCTGTTGTTCGGGCCGCATTGACAGTGTCTCCTTCAGGTTCTCCTGAGCAACGTGACGATCACTGCAAACGTGCCAGAACGGACCACGGCATCACTACAGACATTCCTCACTAATATCACATGAAGATGGTCATTATTGGGTAGCTTGGCATATATATATATATATATGAAGAGTTCAGATGCAAAAGCCTCTAAATGCCATTTGAAATTTTCTTCTTTAATGATGATTTTTATCAAGCTTGTATATTTAAGTTCAGTGATTTCACTTAAATAACAATTAATAGGTAATTATCATTGCCATTTAAGTGAAATCACTGAACTTAAATATACAAGCTTGATAAAAATCATCATTAAAGAAGAAAATTTCAAATGGCATTTAGAGGCTTTTGCATCTGAACTCTTCATATATATATATATATATATATATATATAGCATTTTGCAAGATGTAAACAACACTGTTCCAGAAGCACTTCCTGTTTCAGTTTGTAACTGTTTTCTTTATTTCACATGTAAAGAAAAAAATCTTAAAGATGTTTGTTTAACTTTTTTGATTCAGCTTTACATGTTCTGTTGGTTGTATTTTATCCCAGCTTTTATATAGTGTTAAAAAACTGAAACAGGAAGTGCTTCTGGACCAGTGTTTACATCTTGCAAAATGGTCTATATGACAGAACCTGCTGCGATTTTCACATGGTAACATTGTATTGCCATGCAAGATTGTATAAGATCTAACATGGTTTTACTTTTGGAAATATCATGGTAGCAGTACCAGTAAAGTAGATCACCAAAACGATATATTAAATGTTTTCCATGCCTTAAAATATCTTGCCTCATTGAGTATGCGTGGTTCTATGAATATGCAAATGAGCCCCGCCTCCACTCGCTCCCTCACTCAGAGTGGCGATCACACGTTGATCTGATTGGTTACAAGGTGGTTTGTGACGTCAGAAACACCAAAGCGTGTTTTTGAGACTGTCTTTGGTTCACTGCAGTTTTAAGGAGGAAATACTCAGCAATGCTGTCCACTTATCAACGCACACACGGTGTGTGTGTGTTACAGCGGATTAAACACACCACATACACACTTAAACAACATTAAACGCTGGATTCTCTTGGAAACTCTTGTTTGATTGAACGGTTTTTAGAGTTTTGGACAGAAAATACAGTCAACGGACAGAATTTGATTACATTTCCACTATGTTTTTAGGGGTGAAATAAAAACATTTGTGTGTGTAATGATACTGAAGTGTATGTTTGGGACTGTGTGTGTGTGTGTGTGTGTTGCAGCTGGTGTTCGAGATGGTGGCGTCTGGGGAACGAGGTCTGCTGGCCGTCAGAGGAATCTCCCGTCAGGGTCATCAGTGCAGTAAGTGTGTGTGATCGACACTCAGATACCCACAATCCTCTGCTCTTTAGCTCATCGTTCACCGACACACGTTACAGCCGATCACACACAGCTCAGAGAACAGGTCGGACGCTCATGTTGAGTTCGCTTCTTCCCTCTTCCACGGGTCAGCTCTCCCAAATTTCATTTCAGCTTTATTTCAATTGACAAAAAACTATTTTTTAGTGACCATCATTGAAATAAACCCATATTGAACGAGTTGCTTTTTTCACTTTATTAGTTGCAGATTTGAATTAGTAAGTGTGAATGATTCAATGACTCACTTTGATATCTCTTTAATAACTGATTCACAGATTAATACATTTTTTAACGGTCACTTGTCGCCACCTACTGGCGTAACGATGCAATCATCATAATCGTTGTTTGAAGCGCCAAGTTACTTTCAAAAGGCGATTTAATCTATTTTGATTGAATGGCTTTTGGCACTGCTGTAAGTGTCAGTTTTGATGAACAGGAGCCGATTATGGCGGATGTAAAGTCGCACAGCATCACGTTTAATAATCGTCTGTGAATGCCTCATATAATGTGATTCATCTGCTGATAAATGGTTTTGAATGATGTTTGACCTTCACTCTTTCCCTCCATTTCTCATCCCTCGTTCTCCCTCACACATGAATCACAGTCTTTCTGGTTGAAAGCATCACAAGCTCGTGAATCAGAGATCGTGAATCTTCTAGTATCGGCTCACCTTGGTTTCTGTGTTTTTCTGCGTCCTGAAGCTCATTCTGATGTATTTCCGTAACCTCTCCGTCTTGCTGCCCTTGAGCCGGAGACTGTGATCCTGTTATATCCTGATGGGAGTGTGTGGGGATGCATTTGATGATTGATTGACAGGCAGCCGGGCGAAAGGCATCCAAACATGATTCATTGAGTCATTTGAGTTGATGAACACTCACTAATGTCTCTCTCTCTCTCTCTGTGTGTGTCAGTGAACACGCCTCATTTCCTGCACATTAAAGGTGTGGAGGTCAACGCCAGACAGACGGCCACGTTCCACTGCACGATTAACGGACAGCCCAAAGATCACGTCCACTACAAGCTCTGGTTACAGGTGACGACACTCATCACTCACTCATTTATGACACAACTCCACATCTTAGTTGATGATAATGAAGTTTTGTTGACAGATTCGTCCAAAAAATGACTGAAACTTTTATTTCAGTGAAATTAATGTTCTATATTTTAGTTTGATAATGTTTTTTATTCAATATTTTGTGTTTTTAGGAGATTTTATGGTACTAAATTATATTTATGATATACAGTGGTGTGAATAAGTTTTGGCCCCCATGCTAAAGTTGCCTAAAAAGAGGAATAAAAAATCATCTTTTGGATATTGATCTTAATGCCTTAATTAGAAAAATGAGGAAAACTCCAACCTTTAAGGACACCAATTTTCTTTGTGAATGAATAATGTATTATAAATAAATAAATGTTTTTCCTTAAAATACAGGGTGCATAAGTCAGGGCACCCCTATGTTAAATTCCCATAGAGTCAGGCAGATTTTTATTTTTAAAAGCCAGTTATTTCATGGATCCAGGATAATATGCATCCTGATGAAGTTCCCTTGGCCTTTGGGATAAAATATCCCCACATCATCACACACCATTCACCATGCCTTGAGATTGGCATGGGGTACTTTCCATAAGATCATCTTTCAATGCAAATCAAACCAGCTATTAGGCTAACTGAAGTAAAACCATGCCAATCTCTAGGTGTGGTGAAGGTGTGTGATGATGTGGGGATATTTTAATCCCAAAGGCCAAGGGAACTTTATCAGGATGCATATTATCCTGGATCCATGAAATAACTGGCTTTTAAAAATAAAAATCTGCCTGACTCTATGGGAATTTAACATAGGGGTGCCCTGACTTATGCACCCTGTATTTTAAGGAAAAACATTTATTTATTTATGATACATTATTCATTCACAAAGAAAATTGGTGTCCTTAAAGGTTGGAGTTTTCCTAATTTTTCTAATTAAGGCATTAAGATCAATATCCAAAAGATGATTTTTTATTCCTCTTTTTAGGCAACTTTAGCATGGGTGCCAACACTTATTCACACCACTGTATATATAATCCATTTATTAAAGGAGTAGTTGACTTTTAAAAAAAAAACTTTTGCTGATAATTTACTAACCCCAGTGTCATCCAAGATGTCCATGTCTTTCTTTCTTCAGTCGAAAAGAAATGAAGGTTTTTCCAGCATTTTCTCCATATAATGGACTTCAATGGGGTCCAAAAGACAGTTTCAGTGCAAACTACAAACTGTTCAAAGGGCTTTAAACGATTCCCGGACGATGAATAAGGGTCTTATCAAGCGAAACGATCGCTCATTTAATAAATAAATATCAAAGTTTAATTTTTATAAGCTCAAATGCTCGCCTTGCTCTGTTCTGTGACGCGCGTTCGCTACATCAAAATGAACAAATCTTTTTCCGAGTCATTTCGTTCGTTAAATGAACCAAACGACTCGGAAAAAGATTTGTTCCACACAAATCTGCGTGTTGATGTTGCTCCTCACGGTATCGGGGTCCGCGAGGCTCCTATGAAGGAGTGTGTATGTGTGTGTATGTGTGTCGATGTGTGTTGTTGTTCCTCAGGGCATCGGAGGTCGCGAGGCTCCTATGAAGGACACGAAACCCGTGAACTCCAGACGCTACACCGGCACCTTCGACATCCTCAACACCACGAAGAGCGACTCGGGCCAATACCGGTGCATCGTCCACTCAGAGAGGGGTGTGGGAGTGTCCAGTTACGGGGTGCTGGTGGTCAAACGTGAGTGTGTGTGTGTGTGTGGTCTAGCTATGGGGCGCTGGTGGTCAAAGTCTTTAAGTCTCTGTTGATTCCCACTGACCAGAGGATAGAAGAAGAGACAACATGATCACAGTAAGAGTGTGTGGATCAGCGCAGGGTGTGTGTGTGTGTGTGCACCTGTCCGTGGTCTGGTATTATTAGAAGTGTGTGTGGAGCCGCACTGATTCCTGCAGCAACACACACACACACACACACAGGACGCGAGCTGATGTGACGCGACAGGAACTCCTCGTCGTCTCTGACTCTCTCTCTACAGGCACACTTCCTCCGCTGAAGGTCGAGTGACACAACTTCCCCTCGGATCTGTTTTTCCTTCTCGTTCTCTTTCACTGTTCGTTCGTCACACAGTATCTCACACACTCACACACTCACACATCCAGAAGTGAACACTTATCAGACGCGACGTGCACAGGAAGAAATCATACACAAGAAAACAAGAGATCATATTCGTACATTTTTAAATTGAAATTCTTTAAAAAAAAAAAATTAATTTACGTATAAACAAATATTTCTAAATATTTTTAGGGGGTAAATTAATTGTTCGGTTTGGCAGAAGTTCATTCTGGACCTCCTTCTGGGCACCTGCAGCAGACTGGCATCTCGTGTGTGTGTGTGAAAACAGAAAGCAAGCGTGCTGTAAATGATTTATGACTCTCATTGTGTTGTCAGGGGAGCGGGTCAGTCTTGTTAACCCGCGGCGTCTCTCTCTCCTGGAGGAACCAGAGCGTTGTGACGCCCGTCGCTGCCCTTCACACACACACACACACACCCTTTACAACGCGTCTCTACAACAGAACAGGGTGGTATTTAATCTAAAGGGGCAAAATGTAAAGTAATACGATTCCTGAGCCACTTTGGGCTAATAAACGACGAGGGACGAACGAGAGGATCAGACCTCCGCTGCTCATGAACATCATTTACACATGAACACACTTTAGAATGACAAGACTGATATATCACACACACACACACACACACACACACAGCTGTGATGTTCCGCTCGCATTACAGTAACTCACACACACTCTCACACACACACACACACACACACACACAGCTGTGATATTCCGCTCGCATTACAGTAGCACACACACTCACACACACACACACACATACTTTCTGTCTCTCTCTCACACACACACACACACACACACACACACACACATAGCTGTGATGTTCTGCTCACATTACAGTTGCGCACACACACACACACTCACAGGTGACACACAGCTGAATGCTGACACTCTGTGACCTCTGACCTCTGGCGACCGAAGGGTCTTTGTACTGACACTGATGTCACATGACCTTTAATCCCTTCAGCTGCCGGAGAGTTAATGACTGAGACGTTCTGAGTTCCTCTGAGCAACAGGCGTTGAAGCGTCACACACACACACACCAGTTCATGTTAGTGCACACATGATGGAGACTCTCATCAGAAAGATGGACAATGTTTCCTGTAATTGTTACATTGGTTTTGAAAAGAGCAAAATGACATGATTAAAGAAAGTTGGATTCGTTGGTGTTGATGGAACAAAAGTCCTGACATGAGCCTGTAAAACCGAATCTGAAACTGAATTTCTACATCATTGCCCTATTTCTACATTATGCTATTTCTATCTACCTCATTACGCTATTTCTATCTACATCATTACGCTATTTCTACATCATTACACTATTTCTACATTACGCTATTTCTACCTCATTACGCTATTTCTACATCATTACGCTATTTCTACCTCATTACGCTATTTCTACATCATTACGCTATCTCTACATTACGCTATCTCTACATTACGCTATCTCTACATTACGCTATTTCTACCTCATTACGCTATTTCTACATCATTACGCTATTTCTACATCGTTACGCTATTTCTACATTACGCTATTTCTACCTCATTACGCTATTTCTACATCATTACGCTATTTCTACATCATTACGCTATTTCTACATTATGCTATTTCTACCTCATTACGCTATTTCTACATCATTACGCTATTTCTACATCGTTACGCTATTTCTACATTACGCTATTTCTACCTCATTAAGCTATTTCTACATTACGCTATTTCTACATCATTACGCTATTTCTACCTCATTACGCTATTTCTACATCATTACGCTATTTCTACATCATTACGCTATTTCTACATCATTACGCTATTTCTACATTATGCTATTTCTACATTACGCTATTTCTACCTCATTACGCTATTTCTACATTATGCTATTTCTACATTACGCTATTTCTACCTCATTAAGCTATTTCTACATTACGCTATTTCTAAATCATTACGCTATTTCTACATCATTACGCTATTTCTACATCATTACGCTATTTCTACCTCATTACGCTATTTCTACCTCATTACGCTATTTCTACATCATTACGCTATTTCTACATCGTTACGCTATTTCTACATTACGCTATTTCTACCTCATTAAGCTATTTCTACATTACGCTATTTCTACATCATTACGCTATTTCTACCTCATTACGCTATTTCTACATCATTACGCTATTTCTACATCGTTACGCTATTTCTACATTATGCTATTTCTACATCATTACGCTATTTCTACATCATTACGCTATTTCTACATCGTTACGCTATTTCTACATCATTACGCTATTTCTACATTACGCTATTTCTACATCGTTACGCTATTTCTACATTACGCTATTTCTACCTCATTACGCTATTTCTACATCATTACGCTATTTCTACCTCATTACGCTATTTCTACCTCATTACGCTATTTCTACATCATTACGCTATTTCTACATTACGCTATTTCTACATCGTTACGCTATTTCTACATTACACTATCTCTACATTACGCTATTTCTACATCATTACGCTATTTCTACATTACGCTAATTCTACATCATTACACTATTTCTACATTACGCTATTTCCTCGTCATTGCACATGCACAGCCTTTAATTTTCTCTCGATCGGATTATAAAAGGAATAAACACTCCTTTCAATCGAATCGAAGTCTCAGTGGGGGCGAGCTCAGTCGGATCGATTAAGGTGTTTTACATGTGTTTAAGGTGTAGTGCGATTGAGCCGTCAGTCCCATTACTAGCGGATTAATTGGTTGCATGTAAACGCAGTGTGAACATCAGCTCAACATCTGCTCGTGTCGGCAGGGGAACGGTGATGCTTCATCTCTTCGCTCTGAGCACTAGCACTAGTGATGATTGACTCTATTATAATCCCGGTACAGGACTCGTGTCCCGAGTGAGTGTGAGCAGCAGACGGATGGATGGAGTGTGTGTGTGCGTGTGTGTATGTGAGCAGCAGACGGATGGATGGAGTGTGTGTGTGTGTGTGTGTGTGTGTGTGAGCAGGAGACGGATGGATGGAGTGTGTGTGTGTGTGTATGTGAGCAGCAGACGGATGGAGAGATGTTGGTGTAGTGGAGTGTGTCTCTGGTCACACACACACACACACACACACACATACACAAACACACACACACACACACACATCTGCCAGGATGATGGATGCTCCATTACCACAGTTGTAATTGGCGTTCTCCACGCTTCAGATCGATACGCTGTTGTGCGGTTCCTGTACACAGACCTGAGCTCTCAATCTGAGGTCTGTGTGTGTGTGTGTGTGTGTGTGATGTTGTTCATGTCAGGTGTAAGTTTTCCATCTTAATTTTCTCAGTTTCACTTTATTTTGATGGTCTCTTTTACACATTCTGTTGATAATAAGTAGTGTAGCACCTTCACGTCTATTAACTCTCATTACAGTATTAGTAGAGTATTAGTTATTAGTAGAGTGTTAGTAGAGTATTAGTAGAGTATTCGTAGAGTGTTTGAAGAGTATTAGTTATTAGTAGAGAGCTAGTAGAGTGTTAGTAGAGTATTAGTTATTAGTACAGTATTAGTAGAGTGTTATTAGAGTATTAGCAGAGTATTAGTTATTAGTAGAGTATTAGTAGAATGTTAGTAGAGTATTAGTTATTAGTAGAGTGTTAGTAGAGTATTAGTAGAGTATTAGTTATTTGTAGAGTGTTAGTAGAGTGTTATTAGAGTATTAGCAGAGTAGTAGAGTATTAGTAGAATGTTAGAAGAGTATTAGTAGAGTGTTGGTAGTGTATTAGTAGAGTGTTAGTTATTAGTAGAGTATTAGTAGAGTGTTGGTAGTGTATTAGTTATTAGTAGAGTGTTAGTAGAGTATTAGTAGAGTATTAGTTATTTGTAGAGTGTTAGTAGAGTATTAGTAGAGTGTTATTAGAGTATTAGCAGAGTAGTAGAGTATTAGTAGAATGTTAGAAGAGTATTAGTAGAGTGTTGGTAGTGTATTAGTAGAGTGTTAGTTATTAGTAGAGTATTAGTAGAGTGTTGGTAGTGTATTAGTAGAGTAGTAGTTATTAGTAGAGTATTAGCTGAGTGTTAGTTATTAGTAGAGTGTTAGTAAAGTATTAGTAGAGTATTAGTTATTAGTACAGTATTAGTAGAGTGTTATTAGAGTATTAGCAGAGTAGTAGTTATTAGTAGAGTGTTAGTAGAGTATTAGTAGAGTATTAGTTATTAGTAGAGTGTTAGTAGAGTATTAGTAGAGTGTTGGTAGTATATTAGTAGTGTTATTAGTAGAGTATTAGTAGAGTAGTAGTTATTAGTAGAGTATTAGCTGAGTGTTAGTTATTAGTAGAGTATTAGTAGAGTGTTAGTAGAGTATTAGTTATTAGTACAGTATTAGTAGAATGTTATTAGAGTATTACCAGAGTAGTAGTTATTAGTAGAGTATTAGCTGAGTAGTAGTTATTAGTAGAGTATTAGTAGAGTGTTAGAGTATTAGTAGAGTGTTGGTAGTGTATTAGTAGAATATTAGTTATTAGTAGAGTGTTAGTAGTGTATTAGTAGAGTATTAGTTATTAGTAGAGTATTAGTAGAGTGTTAGTAGAGTATTAGTAGAGTGTTGGTATTGTATTAGTAGAGTATTAGTAGAGTATTAGTTATTAGTAGAGTATTAGTAGAGTGTTAGTAGAGTATTAGTAGAGTGTTGGTATTGTATTAGTAGAGTATTAGTAGAGTGTTAGTAGAGTATTAGTAGAGTGTTGGTATTGTATTAGTAGAGTATTAGTAGAGTATTAGTTATTAGTAGAGTATTAGTAGAATGTTAGTAGAGTATAGTTATTAGTAGAGTATTAGTAGAGTGTTATTAGAGTATTAGTAGAGTGTTGGTAGTGTATTAGTAGAGTGTTAGTTATTAGTAGAGTATTAGTAGAGTGTTAGTAGAGTATTAGTAGAGTATTAATAGAGTGGTAGTAGAGTATTAGTAGAGTATAAGTTATTAGTAGAGTATTAGTTATTTGTACAGTATTAGTATAGTGTTAGTAGAGTATTAGTATAATATTAGTTATTAGTAGAGAGTTAGTAGAGTATTAGTTATTAGTAGAGTATAAGTAGAGTGTTAGTAGAGTGTTAGGGTTAGAGTAAGTTGACATGTAGTTGTAAAGTTACTTATAGTCAGTTGGATGTGTGTTGGGGGACCATCACAATAAAGAGTTGGCCTGTTCTCCATATATTTAGGGGTTGTATCGTGTGCTGCTGAAACACTATTGTATTATTATTAGGATTTTCAAAGATCAACATTCTGTCCTAAAAGTGATCAGACGGATCAAACCGTAAGTCGTAGACACGTGAAAATTTGAGGAATTTTGTGTTTGTGAGTTGATCGTGTGCATTTGTGTTTGTGAGTGTGTGTGTTTGTATATATGAGCCTATGTGTGTGTATTTTAGAGTTAGTGTGTGTGTATGCGTGTGGCGTTTGGGGCATTTCTGGAACGGGATCACGGGTGAATTGGAGCAGGACCGTAGGGGTGGTGACTAATGAAATTGGGCTCATCTAAAACAATGAAGGTCAGGAAATTAATTGGTTTAAGTCATTATCTCAGAGGAATCACTCCGCCCCGTCACAAGATTACACTCCAGATTGGGAGTCGTGGCTTTTCTGCACGGTCGCTTAATTGTGCCCACTTAAGATTAAAGCCAGAGACGCGGGGCGGAATTAAACAGCTCTCGCTGATCTTACCATTTCATTAACAGAATTACTAGGCCTTGGAGTGCCATGAGGACGTGCTTCAGTTTAGAGCATGAAGATCAGAGCAATCCGACATCAGCGCTCTCACTCTCACTAATTAAACCAGTGGTGCAGTCGTGTTACGCAGGTGTACACACTTAAACAAGTGCGAGGATATGGAACAACATGGTTTTGTGACACAACTTTCACATTTTCATTAATATATTCACCCGTCTGTGTTGCGAAGCACTGACTTTTGGGCCAATGGGGCTTCCATGGCCGTGACCTGGATGTGACGTCACTAAGTTGAAACACACTTGTACAACTACACAGTCGCTTTGCTGTCAAACTTTTTTCCGCTCTCGCTTTCGTTCGTAACTTCATGAAACATGCACAGATCGTGGAAAATGGCACATCATTATTTACAGCAGATTCACTATTAAAACGAGTTAATCCATTCATGAGAATATTCCTCACGGAGGTACGACACACACAACTCCACAGACGCTAACTAAAGAGCAATGTAGCGTTGACGCTCGTAACTTCATTAAACATGCACAGATCTTACTCACAGTGGATGCTCTCGATTGAAATTAGTCCAAAATACTATATAATTCAGTGCGTCGATGACAAGATTTTAAAAATGCCCATTAGGGGGCGTCAAGGGCTAAACAAAAAGGCTACATTGGTTCCAAATGCTGTTTTGATTTCTTTTGGCTATTAGCACAACATTTGATCCAGATGCGGATCGCATGTCGGGGAACTTCATTGGGTCTTATTCCCTTCCTGAGTTAGAAGGATTCACTTTGAAATTAATTTTTGATATGTTTTATCTTCCCTCAAGGGCATCCGAGATGTAGGTGTCTTTGTTTCCACAGTATTTTCAATTTTGACATTTTTCAGTCAAACCGTTGTCGTCTGTCAGTCATACACTGGAGGCTAAGGGGGTCCACCAAAGAGCAGCACAGAGAAGTCCAAATTAAACATGATTTAATGACTCGTACATGTAAGTACACATTGATGGCCTAAGACACGAAACGAGCGGTTTGTGTGAGAAAACCAACAGTATTTATATCGTTTTACCTCGTGTAATCATAGTGATCTGAATCAGTTGAACTGAACCGAACTGAATCAGTTCAATGTTGCGCCGGAAGTGATCGCTTGCGTGTGACGTCACTCAATATTTACACGGAGATTTCGGGAGTTTTACCTTTTACTAAACATATTTAGATATACCGAAATCGTCTTCCATTGCGGTTTCCCGTATATCTAAATATGTTTAGTGAAAGGTAAAACTTCCCAAATCTCTGTATAAACAAAGAGTGACGTCGGCGCGCAAGCGATCACTTCCAGACCGAAGCGCCCGTGCCGTCAGATCATTTTGTCGTGGCTGTGATTACAAGAGGTAAAACGATATAAACACTGTTGGTTTTCTCACACAAACCGCTCGTTTCGTGTCTTAGGCCATCAGTGTGTACTTACATTTATGAGTGATTAAATCATGTTTAATTTGGACTTCTCTTTGGTGGACCCCCTTAGCCTCCAGTGTATGACTGATAGACAACAACGGTTTGACCGAAAAATGACAAAATTGAAAATACTGTGGAAACAAAGACACCTACATCTCGGATGCCCTTGAGGGAAGATAAAACATATCAAAAATTAATTTCAAAGTCAACTATCCCTTTAAATCATTTGATTAAATATTCAGCTGTATTATTGATCTCCTGGATTATATGAGAACTGAACTGAGCTGGACGATGACATCACGGTTTACACCAGAGCGGCTATATATATATATAATTGGACCAAATTTTTACAACAGTAATGAAGCATCACTGAACTGACGTGTTGTGAAAAGCGCTATATAAATAAAGCTGACTTGAAATGTAAAATTTGAAAATTATATATAATTTTACGTCTTTTATCAGCACGAAAATGTTGAAACGTACTGACTTTGCTAAAGTTTTCCACCACAGCATAACCGACTGATTAACACAGTTCTGATCCGTGTGTCCAGAGCCTCCGATCCCCATCGCTCCTCCTCAGCTGACGGCCGTCGGCGCCACCTACCTGTGGATCCAGCTCAACGCCAACTCCATCAACGGAGACGGGCCCATCGTGGAGAAAGAGGTGGAGTACCGCACTCTCTCCGGGAGCCTGATCGACAACCAGCCCGTAGACAAACCCAACCACAAGATCGGCCACCTGGACCCCGACACCGAGTACGAGATCAGCGTCCTGCTCACCAGACCGAACGAGGGCGGCACCGGCGCGCCAGGACCCCCGCTCAGGGCCAGAACCAAGTGTGCAGGTCAGCGCATGCCACATCTCAGATATCTGTCTACAACCATTGAGTTTTTCAGTTGGGCTGTCAACTTTAGTCGTTTAGTCGACTAATCAGTCGATGCGGTCTTGGTCGACTGACATTCTTATTGGTTGACCAGTCGCATTTTTTTTTTTTTTTTTTTTTAGCCAATAGAAATACATTTTCAATGATTTACTCCTTCATATTTATTCCATTATAAAGCAGTTATTTATTACTGTATTCTAAATATAATTAGCCTATGTTTTATCCCCAAGTTTAAATGCTTTAATTTAGGCTATTTTTGTAACTATTATAGCCCAGACAGCAAACTGACATTGAATCAACGTGGAAACGACGTCTCTCATGACATTGAAACAACGTTGATTTTGCTCATCGAATTAACGTTGAACCAACGTCAGACGCGGCATTCTTCAAAGCTAAATGAAAATCGAAAATTGGTTTGCTTTCATAACGTTGAAAACGCGCGTTGATTTCAAATTGATTTTCCGTTAGTTTTGAAAGAATGACGCGTCTGACGTTGGTTCAACGTTAATTCGATGAGCAAAACAATGTCAGATCAACGTTGTTTTGATGTCATATTTCCACGTTGATTCAACGTCAGTTTGCTATCTGGGAGTTTAGCGCACACACATAATACACTCGGGAACCGCACCTGTGTCTGGCTACGCCGCTGCTCGCGCTCGGTAAGGGATGCTGTATTCATTCAGTTCATGCTACTTGTTTAGCCGACAAAATGTCCAAGAAATCCAAATCTTTTGTCTGGCTACATTTTTGTGGAGGTAGGCGACCGCGATCGCGTTGCTCCATTATGAGCGCGCACGTCGCGCGCCTACATTTGAAATCGAACTTGAGCGCGCAAAAGACGTGAGCAGCCCTTTTAACGGCCCAGACAGCAAACTGACATTGAATCAACGTGGAAACGACGTCTCTCATGACATTGAAACGACGTTGATTTTGCTCATCGAATTAACGTTGAACCAACGTCAGACGCGGCATTCTTCAAAGCTAAATGAAAATCGAAAATTGGTTTGCTTTCATAACGTTGAAACAACGCGTTGATTTCAAGTTGATTTTCCGTTAGTTTTGAAAGAATGACGCGTCTGACGTTGGTTCAACGTTAATTCGATGAGCAAAACAATGTCAGATCAACGTTGTTTCGATGTCATGTTTCCACGTTGATTCAATGTCAGTTTGCTATCTGGGGGCTTTATCATGCTGACTCAGATTGTGTTTTCTAAATATGTTTTCGTTTTTATTTACACTTGACGCATTTGAAAATAGCCTAATGTAACAAAACGAAAATAAACCTATATGCCTTCTTACAACACAGCCTATTTCAGATTGATTTTAAGGCTATTTTGTTTTTTTTTGTGTTTGTTTTTAAACGCCTAGATCGGCCGGACAAAAGTTAACCCATAACTTTGTAAGTAAAGAAGAATACAGCCTGTATAAACGATAGCTTTTGTTAAGATTTTTCATTATGTGACAGATAGCAGTTATATTTTTTGCAGCGTCAGGTGCGCGATTGTGACCTAGGACAGAGCTCCTCACTTTTTGCAGTAAAAAAATCACTTAATTTTTAAGAATTTAAGAATTTCATTATTATTATAGTTTTATTTATTTTTGATGTTTTTTCGTTGTTGTTTTATAAATGCTCAATGACAATTGTCTAAAAAATGTTCAATCAAAACATCCGTTTTTTGTTTTTTTTTAGTCGACTAATCGTTGCGCAGGACAAGACCTTGGTCGACTAAGGATTTCTTTGGTTGACTACAGCCTTATTTTTCAGTGCGTTGAGATTCTTTCACGTGAGTCATGTGACCAGGGGGCGGGCACACTTATGGCGAGTCCGAATACACTTTTGCTAGTTTAGCGATGGGTAAACCGAACACACACACACACATGTTGCTCATGACGTGTCAACAGTCGCTTCGGCCAGGTGGTGTTTATAGCAGAGGGGGCGGAGCTTTAGATGCTAGAGAGCATTTGATTGGACAAGATGTGACGAGAAGTCACAAAGATCTATAAAAATGAATATGCTTTATCTAATCAATAAAATTGTGGCAACAGATTACAAGCAATATTATTTATTAAATTGAACAAATTAGAATCGAGTAATAGTTAATCAAATTAATATTCTAATTAATTCTAATTTGTACAATTTAATGAATAATATTGCTTGTAATATGTTGCCACAATTGTATTGATTATATAAAGCATATTATTTTTTTCAGTGTAAGTTTTGAGTAAATTTTGTGATTGTTTTTGGACCACACCACCTTATTCATAACCTTAAGGTCACATATTGACAGTAAAAGCTCAAACCGTTGACATCGAGGTCGTCTTCTGTTGCGATGCAGGTCTCTCCAGAAGGCTAAAGCTAAATTAGCGCTGTTGTTTGTTGTTGTTTACATGATTCAGGCCCGGCCGCGTGTCGCACCTGGAGGGAGACGTGTTTCTCTTCTAATGGCGCTGGAAGCATTAGCATTAGCGTTATTAAGAGTTTGTCAGAGCGCCGGGCACATTAGCAACACGGTGCAGGACCCCCCGGGCCCTGAGCAAACGACATGCAATTATCACAGTAATTAAACAGGTGCAATGACTCTTATTTCAATGGCTGTTGTGATTGTAGAAGCACGCAGGTCGCGGCGTGACGCTCCCACGCCAAGCTAATCGCTTTTCCATTAGCCTGCACTCTAACTGCCCATTAGCGCATCACAGCATTCATCAGCCAATCAGCTGAGAGACGCTCGGGGCGATGAAGAGTGGAACTGCAAAATTGCATTTGCATAAATTATCATTTCATTAAATCACTTGTCCGGTCATTAGCACGCGCGGAACAGGACTGGAGATCAGTGATATTGTGCTCGACACCAGATTGTGTGTTTGTTCTGGTCACATGTATGTTTATTGGATTCAAATTACAAACAAACAAAAGACAGTAATATTGTGAAATAGCATGACAGAAATCACTTTAATATGAGGATCTGATGCTCAAGAAATTATAGTGTACCGTAGTATCCCTGTGGGAGTGTTCTTGTGTGTTTGTGTGTGTGTGTTTTGACTGTGAGTGAACAGAAACTTCAGGAATCTTCAGATGTCAGCGAGTGTAAATCTTCTGTTGAAAGAGAAGCGTTGATACGTCTCAGCTTAAACTCTGGTGACCTTAGCGTAACACACACACACAGTGATTCCTGCAGCAGCGCCACCTGTTGATCACACACACACACACATGTCAGTCCTTCACACATCTTTGTGGGGACTCTCCATAGGTCTAATGGGTTTTATACTGTACTAACTGTATATTCCATCCCCTTAACCCTAAAGCTACCCCTCACAGGAAACATTCTGCATTTTTACATTTCAAAACATTACTTAGTGTGATTTATACCAGAGAATGTCTAATTGAAGAGAATTGGCACTGGCTGGTTACTTCCGGGTTGTGGACTGGCTGCAGTAACGCGTCTCTGTCCATGCGGGGGCGCTCGCGGTCGAGTGCAGAATGAATGGGAGTCAATGGGGTTTCACCCCCAGAAATCCACTTTTCTCAGGATGTAATTTTTTGTCAAGTAATTTGAAAGTTGCATTCAAAAGGGAGGACTAAGAAAATACACTCAGCTGAAAATTGCATTTTTAAGTTCACTTATCTGATCTAAAAATGTGATGACGTCACACAATAGCAGAATGCTAGCGTGTCCCGGCCAACAACAGCCTAACCTGTAAGAAATCAAACGGACATAAGTACTCGTTCATTCCACTTTTGGCCTATAATCTATATTGAACTTGCGGAATCAACAATAAAATCGATGTTAATTTAATGACAAGCAGGTGAAAGAGACACATTTAGCCGTTTAGCCCCATAGACTCCCATTCATTCTGCTCTCGCTCATGATCACCTCCAGTGGAATTATAATGGAACTGCAACCAGGATGATCCACAACGGGGCTAATAGGGAGTGCCAAGGCTCTCCGTTAGACGGGCTCTGATTATATGCTGTTTTCCTCATGGGGACCGCTGGCTGGATCCCACAATGTAGGTGATTTCAGGTTTTACTATACCTGTGGGGACATTTGGTCCACACACACACTCACACACTCATCCGTCTGTGTGTTTTTCGGGATCTGATCTCTCTAACAGCTTCTTCTTCTTCACTGAACTCCTTCATCTCTTCCTCTTTGTTCACTTTCTTCTCTTTTCACGTCTGATTTTCACGCTCGGTTCTCCTCTGAGTGGCCTCTCAGCTTTTCAATTATGCATTATTTATTTATATATACAAGTTTAAATTATATATAAATTCTCAATACATTATAAATAGACATTTTATATATATATTTTCTGTATATTACATTTCAGTCCCTATCATAGCATTTGAAATGTTTCTATTTTTGTTTTGGGAGTTCCCAAAAAACAGTTTAACGTGCATGCCAGGATAAAAAACACTTTATTTGTCTTATAATATGCATTTATTTTTACCAGATTTGCTCAACGACTCCCAAATGATTCGTTCGACGATTTAACAGCTCCTTTGAGTGACGCTAATCTGCAGCGATTGGTCAAATGACCCACTTTCAGATATAAATCTTTGCAGGATGTTTTTCATTCCCTTAGAGCTATATTCAGTGGTGGAATGTAATGAAGTACAAATACTTTGTTACTTTACTTAAGTACATTTTTCACGTATCTTTACTTTACTTAAGTAGAATAAATAGTGCATACTTTTTACTTTTACTTTGCTACATTTTGCAGCAATTATTCTACTTTCTACTCCACTAAATTTCTACAACTTCTGTTACATTTCCTGATCAGTTTTTCCCCGGCCAAACCGTAATCTGACCGTCCGTCCATTGCACGTTTGTCTCACCAGTGACGTTTGGTTGCCATAGATACATCAACTAAATGCGTCTCGCACGCAGTGTGTTTATCGTACAATTTATACGCAAAAATTAGTTTTTACGTGCATAGGAAACACACCGTGTGTAATATCA